CGGGGGAAAAGCTAGGCTGATTGGGAGAAACCAGCCACAGGTGAGGCCACGCCCGGCCCTATAAGAGGGCTGAGGGTCAGAGACTAGAAAAAGGACATTCTCTCGCTAGCTTTTTGAGAGAGAAGGACCTGGCTGCCTGGGAGCTGAGAAGGGTGCCTAGGGTGGAGCAGTGCTGGGGGAAGGCAGAGGGAGCTGGGGAGCTCTAGCCTAGCAAAACCCCAGGCTGCAGGCCTAGTTAAGGGCCTATGAAAGGGTACTTGGGCTGCAGAGAGGCAGCCCAGAGATAGGCAAAGGCAGCAGGTCCTAACCCCCCTTGCCGATGATGAGTGGTTTACAGACTGCAGTCTGCCCCAGTAAGCAGGGGCTAGATGGAGACTGGCAGCCACTGAGGCAAGATAGGGATAGAGGGTTGGGGGCTCCCCTGGGAGGGGAGACCCAGAGACAGTGGGTTGCTGCTGGGGACAGAACCTTGAAGTAGAGGGGCATCGGGGTCTGGGAGGGACATGGGGGCCAGTGGCGGACGAGCCACTGGCCTCCAGAGGGCGCTCTGGGCTGGAAAGAGCTAATTCCCGAGACGACCAGCAGAAGGTGCTGCGCTGATGAGTTGTCGCCCCGCGATAGTTCCCGTCTGACACTAGCTTTTGAATAACAGCACCGTCTTGGTATTATCAACTACATAATCTCTTCCTTTGACAGGAAATAATTATGTGATTATGACAGTTTATAGTCTCTCTTCTAAGATTTTTGTTAGCAGCTTGCAGTCACAGTTAATTAGAGTCACAGGTCTATAACTCCAACATGAAGTAGAAATTCTACCAGAATTTTAACTTAGCATTGTAGAAACACTGTTTACAGTTTGAGGAAGGTGCTCCGATAAAAAAACAACAATCATTGAGGTCCTGTCTATACTGGCAAGTTTCTGCACAGTAAAGCAGCTTTCTGTGATGTAACTCCAGAGGTGTATGCACTGCCAAGCCAATTAGTGTGCAGAAACTGCACAGTTGCAGCACTGTAAAAAAACAAAACAAAAATCACCCTGATGAAAAGCATACAGCTTTCTGCGCCGGGGGTACGGCGCCGCAGTGCCAGTGTAGACACCCTGGTCAATTACAGCACTGTGATTGGCCTCCGGGAGGTGTCTCACAATGCCTGTCCTTGCCTCTCTGGTCATCAGTTTGAACTCTACTGCCCTGCCCTCAGGTGACCAACCATCATTCCCACCCCGTAAATTTCTTTTGGAATTTTGAAAGTCCCCTTCCTGTTTGCTCGGTGATGCGTGCAGTGGTCTCAGCGCATCTTTCCAGGTGGCAGTTAAGTACTTGATTATTTTCACAAATCACCTAGTGTGAATGCAAACAATGGGTTAAAAAAAGGTTGAAAATCAGCCTCCAAGTGCAAACAAGGCTTCTGATATTTTTTTTTTACCCATATTTTTGTGTGCACAACTGATGTGTCTTTGGCTCCAATGAGATACTTAAATCAATGGGAATTGTCAGAGCTCAGCATCTCTCAGACACAGGTCCTTTAGCAGTTTAAATAACTTATTTGAAATGTGTACAGGAGCTTAAGGGTGGGATCCACTAAGGGACTTAGCCAGTACACCGCTGTGTGTCATATGCCTAGAGAATCACAGGAACAAAACTGTGATCTACAAAGCCTGAGTTAGGCTCCTGTACAGTACAATGAATAGGGAGACACAGGTGCCTAAGAATGCAGTCCCCAAAAGCCAGCATGTTAGATGGGGAGCCATATGTGCTCCAGGGCTAGAACATGAAAAAAAATTAGTGGGTGCTTAGCACCCACTGGCAGCCATTCCCTCCCAGCGCCTCCTGCCCACAGGCAGCCCCACTGATCAACTTCTCCCCCTCCCTCCCAGTGCCTCCCACCCACAACAATCAGCTGTTTTGCAGTCATTTGCGGGAGGCTCTTGGAGGAAGGGGGAGAAGCGGGGACAGGGCATGCTCAGGGGAGGGAGCGGAACTGGGCAGGAAGGGGTGGGGCAGGGATGGGTACTTGGGAGAAAGAGTGTGAGTAGATTCTGAATGGAACCCAATCCAGCTCAGAGGTTGCCTTCTAGATTAGGCCCTGCACATGATATAGGTCAGGGGTCGGCAATCTTTCAGAAGTGATGTGCCGAGTCTTCATTTATTCACTCTAATTTAAGGTTTCACATGCCAGTAATACATTTTAACCTTTTTAGAAGGTCTCTTTCTATAAAGTCTAAACTTTCTATAACTAAACTATTGTTGTATGTAAATTAAATAAGGTTTTTAAAATGTTTAAGAAGCTTCATTTAAAATTAAATTAAAATGCCGAGCCCCCTGGACTGGTGGCCACGACCCGGACAGTGTGAGTGTCGCTGAAAATCAGCTTGCGTGCCGCCTTCAGCACGCGTGCCATAGGTTGCCTACCCCTGATATAGGTGGTCAAACACCTGTCTTCTCCCAGTTTGTGATTCACTCTGGGTCTCAATAAGCGAGAGATAGGTGTTTGGACACCTAGAGGACGGAGGCAGTGTGGATGCTCAGAGGAAGAAACTTAGGCACTGAGAAAGCTTTTATCCTGACAACTTAGGCTTTGTGTTTAGACACTACAGGGTTCAGTGGAAGTTTTGTGGCTAGTAGTGGAGCCAAAACTGGGTGCGTAAGTTTGGGGTGTAGGCACATGACTATCTTTGTGGATCCCACTGCAACTGTCTAAGCCCTGCCTGCAAATTAATTGGTG